CACTTCAAAAATCGGGTATTAAAAAGATAATGAGAAAAGGCTTAATGTTTTGTATAACTACTTTTTATTCGATTTCTTTTCCCTGCTAAAGATTTCAGGAAAATTATTTATCCACTGTTGTTGTCAAAATGTCTCAGGAGCAATTCTATGCAAATGTCAACCTACCCATAACAAAATCATGTTGTCACCAAAATTGTGAAACCGTTTCTGCATTTTTTTTGTGCAAGCAAGTATTTTACAGTGCTTTAAAAATACTTTAAAATGTATCTGGTAATGCTTTCAAACAATTATATTTGATTTACCAAATCACACAAGTGCCAATTTCACATCGGGCACATTCATAACGGAGCTTTCTCCTCATAAATGCAACAAATGTCAGATAAAATATAATCAATCGTCTTTGTTCTATAGTGAGCCAACTCTTATCCTTTTGATGAGCATTATTTATTTTGGGTTGTGCAGTTTAATTAAAAGAATTTCTATGTTGTATGCTGTAAACTCGCAGACTTTTTGGTCACATCCTTAACGCATGTTTAATTTGCTCATTAAAAATATAAAAACTGTTTACAGATTGATATTTTTCTGCTTCCATAACTCTAGTTCCCATAACTTTAGTTGTTTTGGTAAATATAAAAACAATAGCCTATATTGTTAACATATACTTTTTATGTGAATATGTTTTGAGATTTTACTGCAAATGTCACATAACGCTAGGATTGCTCTTAGGCAAACTGATTTTCCATTTTGATATTGTGATTATTTTAACAAATTGACAATACAATATTAAAACAGTTAATATAATATATTTCAATGCAGCCTTTTAGTGAAAGTCAGGGAATTTGATTAATTAAAGAGGGAACCCTGTAAATCACATTACCCAACGAGTCCACCATCAGCACGTGTTTATTTAGCCACATATAGTGCAGGTCAAAGTGGTAAAGGGGTCGCCATTTAAAACTAAATCACTTTCGCACACTCATTTGCTCTCATTAGAACAGGATGTTTTGCTCGTCGCTTATTTCAAACAATCATCTGCACTCAAATGAAGAATGAGAGATTTAATGAAACAAACAAGCGTGTCTCTGGTTGTTTGTAGGACAGCTCCCAGTGGAGAATCTGCTGTGACAAATCCAAGAGAGCCCCTTTTGTTTAATTTACAAAGAATATTAAGCAGATTAATGAACTGCGGATGGTAGTGCCATACCGTGGAGATTTCAAACAAGGCTACGGCCACCCCTCAGCGGCTTATGTAGTACACGAATGAAGGATGTATCGTTATCTGAAAGGTTAAAAATACTCCAGTTGCATTCAAATAAAAACCTTCATCGTGAGTAAATGCCTTTAAGGCGTCTAAAAACGATATAGTTTACTGTAAACAGCTTTGGATGCAAAAAATAAACAACGCTCGCCCTCTAGTGGTTCTTTCACTAATCTAGGCTTTCCTGGTTGATGAGGTACGTATTACTGTTGACATTTTCCTCCATAATAGTATGAAAGAATTAAATTTTGTGCAGAAATGTGATTAAAGAAGTAATTTCAGACAATTTTACTTTTTTCTTTGTCCTTATGTGGCTGAGAGTACTTTGTACTACAGTACGTTTGTACTAAGCGTATTTTACCGCTAGAGGGAGCACTGCTCATACTGTTGCCTGGTGCTAATTTAATGTAACATAAACTATGTTACATTAATTTAGCACCCGGCTATTGTATAAGCATAGGCCTACTGTATTAAATGCTGAACATAACATCACCCATTCTATGATTTTTTTACAGATTTTTGGAAGGCTGTTTGTGTAATCTGTTTAGTTTGTGCTTGGTGGCCTAAATTACTAAAAAATGTACAAATTTATGCAAAGATATTTGCATAAAATTTTACCTTATATCGAGCATAGACTTTTAAAATTGCTATATAAATTCACATTTTTTAAATTTTAATGAGTAATTACAATAATGGCATCAACACTTCCCTATTATGGATAAATAAATAAAATAAAATAATAAAATAAATACGTAAATAAATGAATAAATAAATATTAGGCTATGGAATTACATTATCTCTCAGTAAAATGTCTTCAGACCATAAATTTATATTTCATTTCTTAATATTTTTAAGACTTAGATAGTAACAATACACAAAACATAGTATATATGAGTGATTTCAAAACGTTTCTTCACACATTTTGTAGATTTGCAGTTTCAAACCATTTGCTGCAAGCATTTGAAGTCTCTGTTATAGTCTGATAATAAAGTCTGATATTGGTCGTATAGCCTGCGGTTTATCTCAAGCTAAATGTTATATAAACTAAGCTTGACATTGAACTCGTCATTGTAAGTGAAATGCAACCAGACCTATTCTCTTCTTTGTTGACACTGCTTATATTTTGGCATCATCGTATTAAAGAGTTTTAAAATTTACACACAAACAAAGAAGGTCAAGGAACACAATGAAATATAGTCTATATTGTTTAATTTAAGGCCGTTATATGCTATATACTAAACAATAATGGGTTTAGATACATTTAGTAGACAAAAATGACTGAAAGTGAAAATGTGAGAAAGATTATCTCAAGATTATCTCAGCGTGTCCTGAGTTTGACCTCAGAGCAGCAGACAAAGGCATCCTCTCACCAATAGATGACAGTGATTGTGACTGATGTATTGTGCTGTGAGACAAACCTTATGAAAGAGACTCAATAATGAATGCCCTGAATGTCTGACCACATCATGAAGGCGTTGTAAATTACACCGTAGGTTCAAACATTATGCCTGAAATTGATTCTCAATCTGGGAATCGTGTGTGTGTGTGTATGTGTGTGTGAGTACTGGTTTATACTTGTACGAGCCAATTGTTTTCATTTATAGAAATCATGAATGATGAAATGTGATATGAAATGTCATGGCAACATTTTACTAGAAAAAAAGACCAAATAGAAAATAATAAATTATATAAATATTATACATTTATTAAATTAGGATTTTAGGGTAAATGCAAAGGTTTTCATTTTAATCTTATTGTAGCAATTATTTTAGAATTATTGGATTATTTTAATCCAATTTATTTTATTTTGAGTTTGTGTGAATTATTCAAAATTCAAATAAACTGAATATTAATAAAATTTTAACAATTAAATTAAGCCAATTATTTTTTAAATAAATACAGAATAATGAAAATAAATATCACATCAAATTAAAAACAACAGTAATGTGAGTAGAAGAAATAATTATAAATAAATAAAATTTATATTATATCATTTGATTGTCTTAATCTAATATTGTTAAGTTTAAATAATCAAATCAAATAATTATAAAATAATAAGATACAATTCAAATAAACAAAAATTTGATTTAAAAAATCCAATTAAATGAAAATAAACAAATTACGTTTAAAATAAATAATACAATAGGATCAAAATAAATTAATACAATGTAAAATGTAATATAAAATTTATATTATATGGTTAGAAATTATTTTATACGATTATCTTAATCCAATGTTTATTCATTTTGGTTGTGTGTGTGCAAATAATCGAATCAAACAATTATAAAATAATACTTAAAATGATATTCATCATCATCATCATCATCATCATCATCATAATAAAATTCAAATGATCTAAAACTTGACTAAAATAATTCTATTAAATTAAAATAAAACAATTTTGTTTAAAAGAAATATCTAAATAAATTAATACAGTGATATGAATAGAAAAGATATTATATCATGTTATGTTATATTCTGTTATATTAATTATATTATTCAATTATTAATTTTCTTTTCAGCTTTGTCCCTTTATTATTCCAGGGGCGCCACAGAGGAATGAACCGCCAACTTATCCAGCACGTTTTTACGCAGTGGATGCCTTTCCAGCCGCAACCCATCACGTCCACACACACTAATTCACACGCATACACTACGGATAACATGCAAACTCCACACAGAAACACCAACTGACCAAGCCGAGGCTATTAATATATTGTATTTTATTATATAATATTATATTATTTTCCCAGAGATGGGTTGCGGCTGGAAGGGCATCCGCTGTGTAAAAACTTTGCTGGATAAGTTAGCGGTTCATTCCGCTGTGGCGACCCCGGATTAATAAAAGGGACTAAGCCGAAAAGAAAATGAATGATTATTATATTATATTATATTATATTATATTATATTATATTATATTATATTATATTATATTATATTATATTATATTATATTATATTATTCATTCATTCATTCAATGGGGAAACATCCACACACACTCATTCAGCACACACACTTGCATACACTACAGTCAATTTTAGCTCACCCAATTATAATATAATATAATATAATATAATATAATATAATATAATATAATATAATATAATATAATATAATATAATATAATATAATATAATAAATGCTGGATAAGTTGGCAGTTCATTCCGCTGTGGCAACCCCAGATTAATAAAGAGACTAAGCTGAAAAGAAAATGAATGAATGTTATATCATATATTATTCATTCATTCATTCATTCATTCATTTTGTTATCGGCTTAGTCCCTTTATTTAATCTGGGGTCGCCACAGCAGAATGAACCGGCAACTTATCCAGAACGTTTTTACGTAGCGGATGCCCTTCCAGCCGCAACCCATCTTTGGGAAATAATATACACACACACACTCTCACACTATGGACAATTTAGCCTATTTCTATCTATCTATCTATCTATCTATCTATCTATCTATCTATCTATCTATCTATCTATCTATCTATCTATCTATCTATCTATCTATCTATCTATCTATCTATCTATCTATCTATCTATCTGTCTGTCTGTCTGTCTGTCTGTCTGTCTGTCTGTCTGTCTGTCTGTCTGTCTGTCTGTCTGTCTGTCTGTCTGTCTTATCCGCTATTGATGTGTTTGGAAAACGCGGGAAAACAGCCCAATCCTCGCCCCGTCGTCCTGCTGGACCAATGGGCGGAGCTGATCACGCTGACGGAGTGAACACACACACACACACACACTGCTGCTGCTGCTGCTGTTGACGGACTGCGAGTGGATTGTGTCTGAATAATAATATTCCTGACCTACATCTCTCACACAGGCCCGCACATTTGCGCAAACATTTTGGTCGACACGGCGAGCGCGCGCAACGAAACGGCAGGCAGGATGAGCGAAGTCCAGGGCTGCATGAAATGTGTCAAATACCTGCTGTTCGTCTTCAACTTCATATTCTGGGTAAGTGCAGAAAGTGTTGATGGTTTCTGCGTGATGGTGTCACACATATACAGTATGCTTGTATTTATAATGTGGCACATTCGCGGTCACATGATTTTTGGTATCTTGGCGTACATTTGTTTTCATTCAGCGTGGCTTCTGGCAACAATAGAGGGGAAAATCACAAAAAAATGGGGTACTAGTGTTTTTGTGAAGTGCAAGTAGGTGACAGATGTCGGCTGCGTCTCAATATCTTGTGAGTCGCCTATCTGGACAGCATAGTGAGCATTCTAGGCACGTGCAGACATTTTGAGCATCATTTGTGCGTCAAATAAGCTACTGTTGACATGTTAGACCAGTGGTTCTCAAACTGGTACGTGTACCACCAGTGGTACGCGGGCTGTCTTCTAGCGGTACGCAGAATAATCCAAGACATGTACAAGCAACATATATTTCAAAACTTATCTAAAATGGTTTATATATAAATATGATGAAATATAGCCTATATTTATGAGGTCCAAGCAACATTTGCAGGTTTTGATCAATAGGATACTACAGATTAACACTTTACATTTAAGTTTTTTTTGTTTACTTTTTAATAACAGTAAGCTACCATTTTTTACTTTTAAAAGCACATTTTAATTTAAACGTTGACATTTTATTTTGTTTGTTTTTTCACATATAAGCACAGTACAGTGTTAATGTTTAAACTATTTATAGTGTTTAAAGCGGCTGATAAAAATTAATACTCCTAATAATAGTAGTTAATGGGCCACGTTTTTAAACTGAGCAGAACTGTAGCTGCTTTACTGGGCCTACTACACTAACTTACTGTATTTCAATACTGGTCATTATGATGGTACTTGGAGGGACAATTTTTTCTGAGGTGGTACTTGATGAAAAAAGTTTGAGAACCACTGTGTTAGACTATTGAAACATTGAAGTAAAGTTGGTTTTATATTCGTATACTCCTTAATATTATATTTTCATAATGTATTCTTTCCGAAAATATTATAAGTAAATCATATTAGTAGCCAAAGACTATCAAAGTACAACATTAGATTAGTCAATGTTGTTTTGAGGCCATATTTGCTTGCTGTTTCTGACCGAATATTCAAAGTAGCTTGGTAAACAATATAAGGAGTGTGTTATAAGTTACTGATCGAATGTGTGAATATAAAACCACTTTACCATTTTTGGTGGAGGAAGGCTAGTTAGGACAATAGGAATTTAATTAAGTATATCATTATTTTTAATAATGGATATGTAATATTTATTAGTAATGTATTATTTATTGGCTTTTTAAAGACTTAAATTATGATAAAATATAATTTTTTTTTAGATAAAATATATTAATAAAAACTACCAATAATTACCCAATTTAATGTATGTTGTCTATTAATCTAGTAGTATGTGTTCACCTTTTTACACAGGAGCTAATAAACAAATACATATAGTCTTCAAAATATTTCTGATTTAAGATTTAACTACACTATGCAACTAAATGAAGTGTAAAAAGTTGTTTGGAATACAACAATATTTTTGCTTAATATATGTTCATCAACAGCTGTGGAAAAAAAGTTCTCTGGAGTGGCTTGATTTATTAGATATGTGTTTGAGTAAAATGTTTTATTCTATACAGGTCTAGTATTAATATTTATTTAAAATTTCAACAATGAATAAAGTCATTTAGAGCATTTGTTTTCAGAAAATGACAATCAACCAAAATATCAACTTGATTAAAGAACTTGGCATGATTAAAATCAGGTTAAAACAAGTTAAGTTAATGTTGATAAATTGGTATTGTGTTGTCTAACAGTTGCTCATGCCAGTGTTTTTGTGAAGTGCAAGTAGGTGACAGATGTCGGCTTTGTCCTAATATCTAGTGAGCATACTCACTATACTGTCCAGATAGGCAACTCACTAGAAATTGAGGCATGTGTAGACATTTTGAGCATCCATTGTGCGTCAAATAAGCTACTGTTGACATGTTAGACTACTTAAACATTGTGGTGAAGTTGGTTTTATATTCCCATATTCGGACTCCTTAATGTTATATTTTCATAATGTATTCTTTGCAAATTTTACATAAGTAAATCATATTAGTAGCCTAGTCAAAGACTTTCAAAGTACAACATTAGTTCAGTCAATGTTGTTTTGAAGCCATATTTGCTTGCTGTTTTTGAACGAATATTCAAAGTAGCCTGGTAAACAATATAGCGAATGTGTGTTATAAGTTGTCACTAAACGAATGTGTGAATATAAAACCACTTAAGCTCAATTACTGAAACAGCCAACATGTAGCTTTGTTTCAGAATAAAGCTATACATTGGGCTAGCTGTCATAATGTTACTTTTTCTACATTTTTTGGTGAAGGTGCAAGGCTTGATAGGACAATAGCAACTGTATTATTATAATTAATAAGTAATTTAATTAAATGTATCATTATGTTTCTCATTTGTAATATTTATTAGTAATGTATTATTTATTGACTTTTAAAACATATGTTGTGAAATATGGTCATATTTTTATTAAGATAAAAATAGGATAATGAAATAGTTAAGTAATTAAAACCAGTAATTACTTAGAGTATGCTAGTAGTATGTGTTCACTTTAAATGCAAGAGCTGTTAAACATACTTTTCAAAATGTTTCAAATTTACAATAGATGAAACTGCACTATGCCATTTAAAATGTTAAAATTGTTAAAAATAAATATATACATACATATAAATGTATACATATAAATCCTATGGGAAAAAAAAAAACATTTCTCTGGATTTGCTTGGTTTATTAGATTTGTGCTGTAAACTAGTGTGCTGCAAAACAGTGACAAAATTTACGTTTAGAAGATATAAAACTGATATAAACATGTAAAGCTTGTAGTTTGTGGATCAACATTTTTTTCCAAATCACCTCATACTTCAGTTTCTCATCAAATCTTTAACAATCAAATACTCTCTAGTATCTAACATGCCCCGCCCTCATCAAGACGCTACATATTTGATGCACTTGAGCTCAACCACTCACTGGCAGAGCGGTGATAAAGCAAACACTATTGGCTGTTTTATATAAAGGGGAGGAGCTACACTATATCTCACCCTCTCTTTTGTGTTTTGGTTGAGATTACGTCAACCATCGAATAAAAATGCACATTTCAAAGCACTTTAAAGCAGTGGTTCCCAACCGTTTTATGCCTGCCCCCCCTATTGTAAGGCCCCTGTTCACATTTAATGATATTATCGCTCATACAAGTTTTCAGTAGGTATGACAAAAAGGGTTGTTTTCAAACTTTACTACTATATCTATGTTTCTTAATATATCTAGATATGTTTATGCACAAATAATAGCCTAATGTACAATCTAAAGGCAAAACATTAGTAGGCCATTTGTATTGGGTGCACCTTGCGGTATTGGGGATGAGTCGTCCGCAAAATATCTATAGAATTTGAACGGCCTCATGCCTTCATTAGCAAGAATTTTGCAGATAATGCACTGTGGCTGGGTCAGGGACTCTGCTTTGAGAAATTTGAATAAAACCATAGTTCAGGTAAACTATCTTGGTATTTCCTGCATTTCGTGTTTCCGTTATTGCTAGCGTTGCGACCTGAAATGTTTGGAGCTTCCTCACCTGGGTTCAATATGCTTGGGTCATTGCTATTAGCTGCTTAAGGTGAATCAGTGAGAAGTTTTTAAAATATGACACAACCCCCCCAGCAGATCTTGCTGAAGCCCCCTTGTGGGCCGGGGACCCCCCCCCCCCCCCCCGCCCCCCCTGTTGGGAACCGCTACTTTACAGGACATGGATAATGTTTATCCAAAATGTCATTTAAATTACTTTTTTTCAGAAAAGGACAATTTACTAAAATCACAACTGTTTGTTGTGATTAAAAATTAGGTTAAAGCAAGTCATGTTAAAAGTTAAAGTTCTTACATTGCAGGGCTCGAAATTGTCACCATTTTGATCGCATATGCGCCCGTAATTTTGTCTATGCGACCTCAAAATATATTTGGGAGCATTTGTGCGAGTATATAAAATTGTTGTGTGCGACCAGTTTTTACTGCAAAATGTTCAGTGGATTTAGGAGACATGCACGCAGACTGCATCTCTGCACCTGAAACGCGAAACGCAGCGCTCAGGAATGGTTTAAAACAGTTATCATGTCAACTTGCTGCAGTAAACAAAGCCAAGTCCGTAATGCTTGCCCCACCTTCGCGCTCTTCTTATTGGCCCACCACTGCTCTAGCACTGAAATATCAGCTGTCAATCACTCAGTCAATGCCTTCTGGCTTGGGATGACAGAGAGAGCTACTACCGCGAAAAATTGTAAATTGCTGAAGATGAGAACGAAGGTAACACTGACAGATTTTGTTTTAGAAACCATGGCATCTAAAGTTACAAATAATGACACATCTTACTAGTGATCATGTGCTGAATGTTAATCCACCATCTACACTTTTCCAAGAGTGGATAAAAGACTTCCATTGGCTTCAAGTCCGCTTTAAAAAGTCTGTGGGATGGAATAAATTTTCAGGTAACTGTTTGCCACATCTAGCACGCAACTTTCAGTTTAATCCTTCATTTAATCGGCAGATGCTGTCCGCCGTGCAAGCGGCAGCTATATGTCAAATTTAATACCACGTACACCATCGCAAACGGCCTTGCACTGAGTAAACTAATATCGCTACTCATGAAAAGGCCGGTATTGCTATTATATGACATATGCACATAATAAAGGTACAGTACATGTCAAAAGCATCAGTGCAATATCAGACAGCACCTGTGAGAACAGCAGAGTTATATTGTTAACAGATTCATCTATGTCAAACAGTGCGTGCAGGGCCAGTAAGTGGTCCGTGTATCTTTTGGTCACTCAGTTATGTTATAAAAATCTATTTTCTTGTGATAACGGGATTTCGTTGAGATTTCGTTTCCTCATGCATGCACACATATATATATATATATATATATATATATATATATATATATATATATTATTTTTTTATTTTTTATTTTTTTTTGCTTGTTTGATTACTGTTGATTTCAAATGCAATAAATATGTTTGTATAAAACTTGTAGTAACGGTGCTTATAATAGGTGTGTGCGACTAAATTTTGGCTGATGCGCCTACATTTTTTAAGTTAGGAGCACCGGTGCTACCAAGCAAAAAGGTTAATTTTGAGCCCTGCATTGGTATTTTGTTGTCTAAATGTTGCTCATTTAATGTATTGCTTGCCATTTATTCGTTAGGACTTGTAAACTTTTAAATACATTTTTGTAGGTGTGAAACCAACACACAAACTATGTTTGCAGAGCATAATCTTCAGTGTTTCCTCAGTACTGGGTTGCGGCTGGAAGGGCATCCGCTGCGTAAAACATATGCTGGAATAGTTGGTGATTTATTCTGCTGTGTTGACCTCTTCAATAGATACTAAGCCGAAGGTAAATGAATGAATGAATGAATGAATGAATGAAGCTGCAGTGTATCTCTATGCCACACAATAGGAAAAACTGTTGCTTATTGTTTTTGGTTTTCTGTCAATCCATTTGCATGCTGGATGTTGTCCTAGCATAATTTATTTGGCTCCCAGAGTCATTTTCTAGTATGCCCCACCAGATGAGAGGGACAAATGTTTATACAGACTCTCAGAATGTTGTGACATTTCAACGTTCAACAACTCATGCATAGTCAAATAAGCTGTTTATATGCATTCAGTAATCATTTGAGGTTGCAATGTGATGTCCTTTGGTCAACAGCGCATGAGTCTGTATTATGTTGCAAAGTGAAAAAATTTAATTATTTGTAATGCAGCAAAATGTACCAACAGCATCATTTTATACTTGCATACTAAGAAGCAAACAACATGCATAATCCGCCATAAGTGGCTTTACAAATTCCTCTGTGGCTGTTTTGAACAGTTTTAAAGATCGCTGAATGGGTAGATCTTCAAAAGGCAGTCTTCAGTCTGTAGTACAAGATCAGGTTACTGCAGAGTTGTTGAAAGTCTTCCACCCCTTTATGTTGCATTGAACACTTCTTTATTCACCTGCATTGAGTCCTGAGGGCTGTTTTCCAACTCTGACTGAGCGGTTTCTGGATAATCGCACCTTCAAAGGCAAGGCCATGGTGACGATTACGTATTATTATCACATACAAAGTAGAGAGATGAATTGGTAATGTCCTCAGATAATGCGCTTACAGCATGTCCCTTGAGGTGGAACTAAGGTTAGTGTTATCATTTTATTGTCTTTCTTGCTTGTAACGCTCTTCGTTTTTATCAGTTGCTTAATGAACTTAGAATTTAGCCTTTAGTGCTGTAAATGAGTAAATTCAAGACTCTCTATCTATAAAGTCCACATAATCTAGACTTTTTTTTCCCACATTGCGACAGTTTATAAAAAGATAAAATAATAAATGAGCAAAGAGTGGGCATGGCTTGTTTTTTACTACGAGCAAATTGTGTGTAGTAAGGCAGGCATTTCATTCAGAAAGATGGGACAAAAGGTTTGGGAAGAGTTTTTACAATTTAACAGACATCTCCCCCTCACCATTTCTGTTTGTTGTCTAATCTGACAGCTGGAGGGGTGTGGTTAAGTATGTTAGCCACGCCCAATACCTCGGGCGGATGTTAGAATTTAACTGAAAACAAACAGGAAGTGCTATTTCACATTATAATTTTAGATTACTAGAGCAAACTATTTTTCTTAATGATATCCACATGAATTCATCACAGAACTAGCAATGTGAGCTAACAAAACCATATGGTTAGTTTTGATTTCATTTGTACTTTAAATGAAAGTTATTCTTATTTTAGCTTTAAACGAATGTTTCTCTGAAAATTTTGTTGTCTGGGATTACATTAACGTTACTCGCCATTTCGCGAGCTAGTGTAACGCGTGGTGTGCCTGACTGGAGTAGTGTTTGGAGGTTGGCTCTTTTGTGTCGGGGGTCCAGGGTTGCTGGGGCAAGGGGAGCAGAGCCAGCACTAGTAGTCAGGCTGACACAGAAGCTATCAAGATTGCTAATGTGCGCATGCTTTAATAAAGTGATATTCTGAGTTCAAAAGCAATGGTCTACTGTTTAACTTGACAGCGGAGAAGGCATCATGTTGTCTGCCACGTCATTTGGGATGCCATGTTGAGCGTTGCTGCACTGAAAACATTGTATTTTGTACTTATTCCCTTTTAACTTTTTAGATATTAGTCTGAATTGAATCATTCGGTTTGTAATGCAAACCGAACCGAAAGTCTCGTACCGAACGGTTCAATACGAATATGCGTATCATTACACCCTATATATATATATATATATAAGAATTTAAATATACAAAAATGTTTAAATAATGCTTAAATATACACATGAAGTCCTAGAGTCAAAACATTTAATGCGTAATTACACAGAACATATAAGATAGCACAAGTTACTATTGTAGTATTATTATCTTGAATTTATTACCTTTTTTGCTCAGTTTTTGCTTAAATTTAAGTTATTTTATTTCAGTATTTGAATTGTAATCATCAAATAATAATTTTAATACTTGCAATCAAAAGATATTTTTTTAATTATATATTTTAAATTTTGGCTTAATACAAATATGTTTTAATGTTGGCAGCCACGCTGCATTGGCTAAAAGCTGCGTTTTCTACACATTATTCCATTTTATTTGAATGTGAAAGAAGTCATTTTAAAGCCTTTCTACCATTTTTAGTCTTGGTTGCTCAAAGCCACACAAAAGCCGCAGGAACCGTTCAAAGGCCGCATGTCACTCCTCCAATCCTCATCACACTGTGATTTTGTTACTGCACTAATGGCCACATTACATTGGCCTAAACAGTTAGTGTAAGATGTAATGTAGGGCACAGTGGCGTCAGTCATTGGTTATCAGTGGAGTGGTCTCACTGCGGCGGACAGCAGGGCCTTTGTTTTAGAGGAGGGCAGGCAAAAAAAGAAAAAAAAAAGAAGTGGGTCGTTGTCCTGTGCAGTTTAATGTTCTGGTGTTGGACAGGGTGGGTATGAGGATGGCACCAGGGGATGGTGGATGCCAGAAGAGCGAGTCGGTCAGACTGGCACAGCCTGCCTGCGGATCACAGTCACATTAAAAACTATTTCTTAAGTTAATTACTGTTGAAATGGGAATTTCACAAAACACGTTTGACAGTGTTAGATCTTCTGTTATAATTAGCAACACTGGAAATATGACTTTTGCTGTTTGTTAAATCTACTTACATAAAATGAGCTGAAACAAAACAATTTTAGAGAGTCTTTGGGACAACTTAATTGTTTTGTGTTCAATCAACTTAATTTGTAAAAACTAATTAGTTAACTTAATTCCTTCATGTTGTCTCAACACAAATTGATTCAATTTACAGTGTATGTTTGTAATATTATTTTGTGTGTCACAAATGCGTTTAGAGTAGGGGTGCCCAAACTTTTTTTTAGGAAGGGCCAAAAACCAAACTTGATTGAGTCTAGTGGGCCAAAGGTAAATGTATTTGGCGTGGGTAAATTCCTAATTTATTTAATAATGTTTACAAATGACTAGAAAATATTGCTTTATATATATTTTTGTACATTTTCGAATGAACTTAGTACAGTAAAAACAAAACAATCTAATTTTTAACAGAATTACACTCGTTTTTGCCTTGATTTGCTCGCTGATACCTTCTGGATAGTTGACTATTTGTTAAGCGGCAGTATTAACAGTCTGTGTGTCTGTGTGTCTGTGTGTGTGTGTGTGTGTGTGTGTATATGTGTATATATATATGTGTTAGTGTGTGTGTGTGTGTGTGTGTGTGTGTGTGTGTGTGCGCTTATACAGTTGAAGTCAGAATTATTAGCCCCCCTTTAAGTTATTTTTCTTTCTTAAATATTTCCCAAATGATGTTTAATAGAGCAAGGACATTTTCACAGTATGTCTGATAATATTTTTTGTTCTGGAGAAAGCCTTATTTGTTTTATTTCAGCTAGAATAAAGCAGCGTTTAAATTTTTAAAAAACATTTTAAGGACAAAATTATAGTAAATCTTGCTTCAACTATATATATATATTTATCTATCAACTATATATGTATATTTATCTATCAACTATATATATATATATATATATATATATATATTTATTTTTTCCCCCAGTGATGGGTTGCAGCTGGAAGGGCATCCGCTGCATAAAACATGTGCTGGATAAGTTGGCGGTTCACTCCGCTTTGTTGACCCCGGATTAATAAAGGGACTGAGCCAAAAAGAAAATAAATGAATGAATGATATATATATAATAGAATTAATCTTCGTTAAAGCTACAAATGTAATAATTGCTTGTGTCCAAATGTTTAAACTAGCTTAAAATGTTAAACACAGACCTTAAAAAAACACACACACACACACAATTGAATAACTTTATAACTGCCAATGTCATATTTACCAAAGTGATTCCATAACTCAAAGCCAATGATTTCAGCATTTTATGTTTGCCTTTCCACTGTCTGCAGTAATGTTTTTTGCATGTCATCATAATTATGGCCTAATCTTTTATAATAATGCCTTTCTATGTCATTTTTCTAACTTGCCAAAAATAGTTTTTTCTCATGTGGCGAAAATAAGCTTCTATATGTCGTTTTTGTTTTGGATCTTGTGAACACAATTGAACTAGTCGTATAATTTTATTTTATCAATTAAATGAACCAACTAGATTTGAACTAGAATTGTAATAACAGAAAGACTTTCTCTGGTGTCCTTACGGATAGCCAAAAGGTTGCTTCCAGTGTCGCAATAAATCACTTTATCTTACAGAATTTCAATCAATGCTCTATTTCAGTCAAGGTTATCCCTCCTGTTACGGTGACGGGCAAAAATATAAAGTATCCTGTTCTCAAAGTCAACCCCTGTGTTTTATGTTTCTACCTAAATGTACCAAAATTGGAATAAAACAGTAAAGGTCATGAAAACATTTGTGTGTCTGATGTGTTTCTCATGTTTCAGCTTTCGGGCTCTCTGGTGTTGGCTGTGGGATTATGGTTGAGGTTTGACCCAGACACCACCAGCCTCTTATCCGAAAATGACGCACCTGAAAACTTCTTCATTGGTGAGTTGTAGATTTTTTTTTAGCCCACACCTAATGTTTACATAATAGGTCTCAAACAGGTTTCATACACTTGCATAAATCGAAGGCAGCATATAGTGACTTTAGGAGTGGAAACCACATTCACTCCCTGATCCCCATTCAGATCAGGTTGTAAAATCAGTGAATCTTGGTCACACTTTATTTTGATGATCTGTTTGTTGAATTTAAGTTACATTGCATCTGCATGCCAACTAATTCTCATAAGATTACAAGTAGATTGTTAGGTTTGGGTTAGAGTTATGGTTGGGGTTACTGTAAGTTGACATGTACTTGCAAAGTTTCTTATAGTCAGTTAAATGTCTGTTGAAGGAGCAGTATCAACAAATATTAAGCAGACAGTCTACAGATACTCAAATGGACCATCAAAATAAAGTTTTACCGAATCGTTTACTGGAGACTCACTCTAAACTGATCATTTCAATCATTTAGTTGTTTACTATAGACTCACTCTCAAAGGATCATTTGAATCAGTGAGTTGTTTACTGAAGACTCACTCAGATTGAATCATTTGAATCAGTGAGTTGTTTACTGAAGACTCACTCAGATTGAATCATTTGAATGAATTAATATCAGTGCTGTGCGGATTGATCGAAATCTGTCTTAAAGTGGTGCATGCCGGTTAGAAATTTGGTCCGTATTGATGCTGCGTGGATGCCACGTGACTGTCACATGTGGCATCAAAGTACCGCGACAGGATAAGACGATCGATTCAACCGGTGCAGCATCTGAAGGGCGACGGCAGGAGTTGCGATGACGACACTGATATTACACAATTGCCCGAGTTCACCGCATGACGACATCCACGTGTGTTTCAGATTTATTATTGGACAACCTCCGTCTCACAAATTTCAAAACAAACAATTAACTTTTTATACCCTCCCTATCTTGTACACATCATGCTTATTAAAAGACTGCAAATATTGTACTGCTGGATCATCTTTTGTTAAATAATTTGTTCATAATGCCTAGATTTGCACAGGTTTATTCGACCTTTTTATTTTTAATTTTTTTTATTATTTAGAATATTTACTGCATTCAGCTTCTTAAATGATTTAAATGATATATTTTAGTAAATAAACAAAATTTTTACTCAAGTAAGTCTTACAGACTTGTAATAAATGATATAACACCCCTTTAAAGATTTCTTAAGAAATAAGTAAAAAAAAAATATTTTATTAAATATAAAAATATATGATTATAAAATATTTTATTTCCTGTCAAGTTGGTTCTGCAGAAATTTTTAAAGTGACATTGATGTACCAGCTCTTACTGGGAAATTTTTTTTGGTCCTTTTGTTCTTTTTGGATTAAAGTGCTTTTTTAAAATACCTTTATTATCCAAAATAACCCTTATTGTGGACATTTATTTCCTTTTTATGTATGCTTTCATTTGATTGAAGAATGAAAAAGACGCGTCTGCGGTAACATGCTTTTTCACTCACGGCTGTTAGTAAACCATTCAAAAGATGCACCTCTCAACGCAAAAAGCGCGTTCACTGTGATCGGTCCTTTATGCAGCCAAACCCCAAAAATATTTAAAATAATATTTTTAATAATTTAACTGATTCCATTAATCGGTTACAAACACACCCTTTCAGTTAACGGTTAATCGGGTATTCTGAGCATCTCTTGTTCCTTTACTTGAAAGCTCAGATTTAATTATCATAATTTCTTTTGTTTACAGAGTTTGAGGTTTACTGTATTGTTATTATTATTCACACCTTACAGATGTTGATCTATCTTAAGGTTTGCTTTGATTGTTCAGAATTTACACTTTACCATTGCACACACTTTGTAACATTTTATTTATCAAGTTTAAGCGTCTCTTCAACACTTTAACAGAATTTATTGTAAAGAGATGAGATATTTTGTTTAAATATTTTTGTTGTTGACTATTAAAACTATTTGCCTTAGCAGTGTTGGAAAAATTAAAATAAAGTGGTTAAAAAATCCTAATATTCCTAAATGGATTATTAAAAATATTCAATAATTATTGATATTGAATGAAATTAAACATGATATCATGATATTTTTCTGTAATATCACAGAGCCCTAGTAAAAAGTACACTATTTTATTTTGGAATGTAGTGAAGTACAAGTGTCCTAAAATGAATATACTCTAATAGAGCACATATACTTAAAATATATACTTAAGTACAGCAGTTAAGTAAAAATACTTACTATCCACCGCTACAATTGGCAAAAATGTTTTAATAGTTTTAGTTGCGTTGTTTCCGACCAGTAGTCATTTGTAGTAAATTAAATATTTTTGTAAATGCAACAAAAGCTCACCAAATAAATCTTGGCATACTGACTCTTGTTACACAATGCTAAAACAATCAGATTAGATCTCGCAAGATTAAGTAAAAAAACTGTAATTTGCCAAATAAACATGAGACAGACAGTAAGTTATCATATTTTTTTATCATGCTGAATTTTCCATTGTGGTCTACATAAATAGCATGTGTTGTTATGCTCATAATTCTACCACCTCCTGTATATCATCAATCGCACAGCACAGAAACGAAAATAAAGACGCCCATAGCTCACTGTTTCATTCATAAACACTACACCAGTTAACAAAGCAGCAGGCTCCTACAGCAATTTCAGCCTGAGATTTCCCATCTGCGTCATGGAGCCCCAATGGCCTCTGTAATGGCGTATCTGATATTGGTTTTAGCCGTGATGAATGAGCAGGGACACAGATAGTCCTTGCTAATGGCTAATGCTGATTTCTCACAGGAGAGGACGTGTAACTGCTGGGGGTGAATTATAAAACCGTTATTTCCTCCTCAGCTCCGGTTTAGTCCCCAGAGGTGCTCTTGCTTGTGAAGTTGGTTTCTCCATATACCTCCCTGGTCTTGGTTGTAGTGATTTGTTTGTTTATAATGCTTCAGGTTTTGATAGGGGTCGGTAGGTGTTTATGGGCGTTTAATTGCACATAATGATTACCCAGCTTCATCATGTTTGTCCTCTCATGGCAGCAAAGAGATGATTGATAATACCCTCTATTGACCTTTCATTCGAGCATTTTATATAGACAAAAAACGAATTAATAAGTTTATGAAAGAAGTTGCTATACTGAATTGTAGGCATAGTTCACCTAAAAATGAAAATGATCTCTTCATAATTTATTCACCCTCTACTTGTTTCAATAGTTTCTTTTTTCTCTTGAAAAAAGATCATTAGAAAAATGTTAAATCCTAGCCATTCATTTCCATTGTATATTTTCCTACTTTGAAAGTCAGTGGCTATTGGTGTGGCTATTTCTAACACTTATCAAAATAATATATACAGTTGAAGTCAGAATTATTCGCCCCCCCCCCTTTGATTTTTTTTTTTTCTTTTTAAAATATTTCACAAATGATGCTTAACAGAGCCAGGAAGTTGTCATAGTATGTCTGATAATGTTTTTACGTCTGGAGATATTTGTTAGTTGTTTTTTTTCGGCTAGAATAAAAGCAGTTCTTAATTTTTTAATATACATTTCAAGGTCAATTTTATTAGCCTCTTTAAGCTATATATTTTTTGATAGTCTACAGAACAAACCATCATTATAGAATAACTTGCCTAATTACCCTAACCTGCCTAGTTAACCCCTAATTATCCTAGTTAAACCTTTAAATGTCACTTTAAGATGAAGTAGCTTGAAAAAAATCTAGTCAAATATATATTTACTGTCATCATGGCAAAGATAAAAGGAATCAGTTATTAGAAATGAGTTATTAAAACTATTATGTTTAGAAATCTGTTAAAAAAATCTGCTCTCCGTTAAACATAAATTAGGGGAAAAAATAAACAGAGGGGCTGATAATACTGACTTCAACTGTATGTATGTATGTATGTATGTATGTATTATGTATCATGTATTAAATGTAAAAAATGTTATATATGTATTTAAATTTCAAATAACTGCATATTTATTGTATGTAGTTTCAAATGAAATTATTACTCCAGTTATTATTGCTTTTATTACTATTACCATTATTAATAATAATTCACATATAGCACATGTCTTTGGACTGTGGGGGAAACCGGAGCACCCGGAGGAAACTCATGCGAACACGGGGAGAACATGTAAACTTTGAACTCAGGTTGCCGTGAGCACCAGAGTGCATGTGTCAACACACTGACCACTACACCATTGGCACCGACAAAATAATGTTTTTTGTTCATTAAAAAAAAGGAAATGTATTTGGAACAAGTGTAGGATCAGTAAATAATGATATTTTTATATTTGGGGGAACTGTCCCTTTAAGTTCTGAAATCATTTAACTCTGATACCTTACATAGAGACTGAACTGCACCAAGGTTAATTATCACTGGTGTAACCTAAAGCAAAACCATTTCAATAATGTCTATCAACAGCAAAATATGAAAAAAAGAGAAGTGAGAGAAGCTCGTTGGATCCATCTCTGATGCACTGAAAGATAACAAGCATTTCCTGGCAATATGCTCGAGTTTTGGAACAAACGGTTTCTGTCCAGAAACAGAAAAATACCAAATGGCAAACAACAAATGTGCTATGAAGCTAATGTAACAGATGCATACACACAAAAACAAGAAACATGAAGAATTTGGTGAAATAATTCTTGATTTTCTGTGTATTTCTCAATAATACAATATGTAAACAGCTACAGAATTGTTGGTATCTTTCATTTTTGTCCAGAGCAGTTGCATTAGTTTATTTTCAATCATTTTTTGTTTCAGGTTTTTTTAGTGACCACTGTGGGTTTTCTTTCTAACGTTTAGGCTATCAAATAGAACGCTAACAATTTAAATTTTGTCCATGTCTATATGTGTAGTTCATCCAAAAATGGAAATTCTCCAATCATTCACTCTTCCTCCACTTGTTCCAAACCTGTTTGAGTTTCTTTTTTCTGTTGAACACAAAGGAAGACATTCTGAAGAATATTGTTCAGCAGAAGCCATGGACTTCCATTGTATTATTTGTTCCATAGT